GTGTTTTAAGTGATGATAGGTACTATGGAGTTCGAGAAGGAGGATGCTGAGATTTCTAACTGTACTAGTCTACCCTGTGAGCACTTTTTCCATAGGGACTGTTTGTACCCTGGTTGGAAAAGAGCGACTCCTGTCCAGTGTGTCGGTAGGTGGGGTTGTACCCGGGTGGTTCGTATGGAAGCATGGCCCTGTATCGTGTTGACTATAGAGGAGTAGGTACAAGTTACCGACGGACTCGGTGAAGTATCTGAGAGAGATAGGAGAGGATGCTGAGGCTGATAAAATTGAGGCCGAGCGTCGGCGACTGAATCCCCTTCATGCGTTCTTCTCGAGAAGGCCCATGATGGGACGTGGGCCCGAGGCTGCTGCTGCTGCCGTCGCCGCCGGCCCTTCCCATCCAGGCGTTCGTTGTGACAGCTGCGAGATGTCGCCTATTATGGGCCGCAATAGGTGGAAGTGTGAGCAGTGTGAGGACTATGATCTGTGCGATGCTTGCTATCATTCCTTTATGGATGGTCAAAGGGATATACCTGAGCATGCTAGTAGAGGAACGCAGTTGCCGGAGGGACAAGGTGATTGTTATTCCAGAGGAGTACACAGCGGAGCGAAGGTCACTTATTTTCAGAGCATCATACGTTTCGGTTGATACGGAGTCCCGCTAGGATGATGACTGGTCGGGGAGAGGACGTCGGTGGTGAGGGAGGTAGTGGTTGGTCTCGTAGTAGTTTTGGGAGGTAGTGTTGTTGTGGCTTTTAAGGTCCTCGTATTATCACTCTGGACACGCTGCTTGGGTTAATACAGTCTGGGAATGTTGTGGTAGAGCATAGGACTGACGATGACGATGAGGATGACGATGAGGATGATGATGATGAGGATATGGACTTAAGTGAGAGCCACTGGACTACTGTTTGTGGTTATTGTTACTGTAGGTCCCCACTAGAGCACTGAGGTGTTTTACTATGATCGACTCCTGCAGCAGCTACTACTACCTTGTATCCCATTGGTAATGTTTTTGTCGCTGTCGGGATTGTACATTCAGAACACTCGGGCCTGTTGGCGGGTTACTCTCTTACTCATCAA